CATTAAGAGGCAAAATATCACACAATGGAGAAAGTGGGAGGATCCACATACAGTAATTAGAGAGGTAATTATAAATGTGCCCCAGAAGGCAATAAGATACAGTAGATCTCGAGTTACAGCCATAATTGAGCCCAAACCTTTTGTTGCTAAGCAAGACAGTTGAATTTTGCCCCATTTTATGACCTTTCTTGCCCTAATTGTTAAATGAATCACTGCAGTTGTTCGGTTAGTAACGCGGTTGTTAAGTGAACCTGGCTTCCCATTGACTTTGCTTGTCAGAAGGTTGCGAAAGGAGATCACTGCAACTGTCATAAATACATGCCAGTTGCTAAGCATCTGAATTTTGATCACATGATCATAGGGATACAGCAGTGGTTGTAAATGTGAAAAACAATCGTAAGTCACTTTTTTCAAGGAGGGTCATTGTAACTTTGAACGGTCACTAAATGAACTGTTGTAAATCAAGGACCACCTGTACACTACATTGCTACTTACTCACCAACATTTGGGCTGCAATTATTGCATAAAGAAGCAGCCAAAGTAATGATAAAAGATATGCAATAGGAAGAAAAAAAATATCTTAATATACTTAATATACAATTAACCAGTGGAACAACCTGCCTCCAGAAGCGGTGAATGCTCCAACACTGGAAGTTTTTAAGAAGAGACTGGACAGCCATTTGTCCGAAATGGTATAGGGTTTCCTGCCTGAGCAGGGGGTTGGACTAGATGACCTTCAAGGTCCCTTCCAACTTTACTACTACTATTATTACTTCCATTTTTATCTTTATTTTATTTAAGTGCTTGGTTTGATGCTGCATATTGCTAATTACATTTATGATTCTTTCAGAGGAAAACTTAAATGGGGATACCTGCTTCAGTCATGTTAGTTTTAGAAAGCTGCCTGAATCAAAACAAATAAGAATAGGAAAAAAAGGATTTGAAAATGATTTGCATTGTGATCAAGTAGGCATTCTGATAAAACTGCTCTTAATATTCTTTGAACAACATGTATCAGATTAGAGCTTCTCTGTCTAGGTTGCCAAAATCTATATAGCAACAAGGAAGAGTTTTCCATATCTTTGTTGCCATCTATTGGTTATTTGGATTTTTACTATCCAAATATGATAGACCTGTGGTTTATTAATCAAAAAGCTTCAGTGAAGAAGGTAGAAAAAATCTTTCAGAGTCAATCAAGCAATGTCTGGAAAGAAATCAACTGGTTCTCAGGGGCTAATGAGCAACCTCTGGAAGGATGTGCAAATTTGATCGATTCTATCTTGTACTCTGCAAGATTTTATATAATTTCAATTATTTTTTAAAAAGTTTAGGCATACAGTTTGATTCAGTTGTTTATTTTCCTTCTTTAATATTCATACATAGAGGCAGGTGCATGCACTAAAATAGCACAATTTTATTCAATATATTATGGCAAGCAATTATTAGAGAGTGGCAGTATGTGGATAGATTTAGAGAGTAATTGGTTTGCTCCAACAATAGGTATATTTTTAAATTGATCTTGACTTAGTTTCTCTCTGTCCAAAAATCTCCTTCATTAATCTTTTTATTCTCATGGGGGGAGGAGGAAGAGGAGGAAAGCTGTGTTTTGCTGCCACAGTGCTGGCTGTGCCCATGTTGTGCTGCACATATGAAAGGAACAGAGCTTTGCACAAAACCACTTTCATCATTTTGGATTAAGCATCGGATCCTGTGGATAACTAGTCATGCAATATAATTTTTGTAATCTTGCTGCAATGAAACAGATACAGTATGCAGCTCTAGCTTATATGTGACTGATATTTTTTAAAGCAATAATAGTACCCTGCTAATGACAATCGCACATTTGTATTTTAAAACACACAAAAGGAAGTCATATAGGACAAGGATGCATGTTTCACAGTTTTCTACACACTCTGAGGAGTACTGTGAAGAACAAATTCTGATTTTGTTTACAGAGTATACAATAAATACTCATTTCATAATTATGATATATTTTGGATCAGCTAGAGCTAGATCAAGAGTGTTGGTCTCTGGATTTGCTGCATAGTTTTAAAGCCGTTCCTTAAATCCATAATTATTGCAAATATATTTCCGAAGGCAAAACTTCTGGATCTTATTTGGTACCTAAATATTAAAATCTTGAGTTCTGTCACACAGTTTACAAAAAAAACCCAGTATTTCTGATGTCCGCAGAGCTCAGAATGCAAAGAAATATGTATATTCTGAAGAAGAAGAAAAAGGAATATATATTGATGTGTTTATCTACATAAATAATAAAGCCTGCATGCAGAATTTTGTGGGCCATATGCAGAGAGAGGAAACCAAGATGGTGCTTGAAAATCTAATACAAGTATAGTGTTAGTATATTTTGATTTTCACTAGTCTCCAAACTGAATATATGAATATGAATATGAATATTTTATATTTTTGCACCTGTAACGAAAATAAATAATCTGGACTCACAAAGCAGGGCAGAAAATGTTTATAAGCACTCCAGTAGACCTTGCCTTTAGCCTAACATTTATGCAGTCACACAAAGTACAAGAAACATTAAGCGACATAACTATCATTATCGTATGACTGCTATATTTGTAGTACTTAAATGTTTCCCTAAGGCACATTTGCCATTGCTTCTTTTGACTTAGGTCTAAATGTTATTATATTCTATGTACAGCACATGGAGCTGCTTTTCTGATATTTGCTTGCAGTTATGCACATGCATAAAAAATTATACTTGTTTCAAACCACTATATGACTTAAATTTGTGGCCCCAAATCCGCACATGCAGGGTATTTTTTTAAAGGTTAGAAAATTCTTTTGCCTCCATGTTCTGTGCCTATTTCCAAAGGTGTAATCCTTTTCTGTGCAAACATCTGTAAAAAAAGGACCTTGTTATTAGGATTCATGGTGCAAGGAAAACCAATTATCATGATCAGTTATATTTATAAAGCTCGCTGCCCAAATGTCATTACAAAAGTATTTGCAAACTGAGAATGTTTAATACATGTCTACTTAATTCAAAGTTGTCCCAATTCACATGTTATTGGGCACACTTTAAATAATGCCTGCATAGATATTTAGCCCGAAACACAATTTATTCAAGACAAAAGTTTTCATATTTCAAATTGAAAACTGTTATCAACCTCCATTTCTCCAGATGCTACTCATCATATATGAACAAACATTTATTGTTAAAGATATTGTGGGTAAGAAAACAAAAACAGCAAATATGCATGTAGATCAAAATGTAAATTTTCTTGCAAGTTTTGCAGCATTTTACAGCTTTTCAAATACTATTTCTTTTTTTTTAAATGAGGTGTTAAAAAGTTTCTTCTGGTTACTAAAATTAGTGATTGTCAACTCAATTACATTTGGAATAAATTTGTCCAGGAATAGTTTGTAAAAAAAACAATGAAGCATTCAGAGGTATTAATATCTCAGTGAATTTAACCCCAAAAGAAAAAAGAAAGATATTCAAATTTTTAATCCATTCATTCACACTTAAGTATTAATATATGTAATGGCACATAATATAGATGTGACACATAATTATACATTGACATTGGACTGTACTGACATTTGTTCATCTCAGATTCATAGCTCAGGTAGGGAATCACAAAGTAACCTGAGAACTTATATTTGAATTACTTCATTCAAATTCATTTGAATTCAGCAGCTTAAGTCCACAGGAGACAGGACCTGAGGGCAGACTATGCAGAGAGGCCTCAGAGACAGTCCAGCACATAATGGCAGGGTGTAAGATGCAGCAGGAACAGCATACACTGAACAGCATAACCAAATACAGGGAGTCCTCAACTTACAACCATAATTGAGCCCAGCATTTCTGTTGCTAAGTGAGACATTTGTTGAGTGAAGTGGACAATTTTGCCAAGGGGCCACATGAGAAACTGGGGCTGTTGTGAAGGGCTGAAACTGATCTGATGTTCTCAAACTCCATCTCTTCAGCTCCTCAGGCTGCTCCAGGCAAAGGGTGAACACTGCGCAGGGGAAGAAAACTGCTTTCTCTCTCTTTGCCCTCTCGTAGCCACCAGCCAACTGAAGGAGCACACAATGACTGTGCAGAGCTGGGCCCGTCTCAGCTTTCTCTCTTACCCCCTGCCGCATACTTATTTACATCTGATTTGTCATTTCTGATTGACACAGACGGGCCTGACAAGGACAGCCAAAGGGCCAGATGCAGGCTGGGAGCCATAAAATGTCTAAGTCTGGGCCGTACCTTCCCAAGTCCCACTAGGAGATTCCAGAGAAGATCATAGAGAATAAGCGAGTGAAGATCCTGTGGAATTTCTAGATCCAGATGGACAGATAGGTACTGGCCAAAGAACTAGACATCATGGTAGCAGACAAGGACCAGAAGACAGCGATGATTGAAAGATGTAGTAGTGCCAAATAACGGCAACTTCAAAAAGAAGGGATATGAGAAGCTGGAGAGATCAGGGCCGGAGGAGGAACTGGAGAGCATGGGAAAGTAAAGACAAATTGATCCCAGTGGTGACAGGAGCATTCGGGGCTGTGACTCTTAAGCTGGGAGAGTGGCTCCAACAGCTCCCAGGAACGGCCTCAGAGCGGCTTGTCCAGAAGAGTTCATTGTTAGGAGCAGCTAAGATACTACGCAAAACTCTCAAACTCCCAGGCTTCTGATAGAGGACCTGAGATTAGGGAACACAGAGACCACCCATAGCGGTGAGAAGGGAATTATTATATATGAAATATGTGATAAATTGAATAATCCCCCAAAAGTATGTGAAAAGTCTTGAACATTAGAAATGTTTCAGATGTAGAAGGGAGCATATCACTCCCTTTTTGACTGATTTTACATGGATTCTGACCCCGTCTATTCAACTGCAATGTATTATTACTAAACTTCTAAGTAAGTATATAAAAACAATTATAGCTCTTACGGTTTATAATCAATGTTTCACTTCAAATGAGTTGAGAGTTAACCCACTAAACAAATATACATTTCATCCTTTCTCTAGTCTAAAACCTATATGTGTTCCTGGCAAGGACAAAGTCTGTGTTTCACCTTAGATTTTGCTGTGGGATTCACATGTTTTGACAATAAAACAAAGGTAAGTAGTATCAGAAAATAAAATATATGTTATGCTGTTACTTTAGGGAATATGAATGTCAATTTCTGGTGTGGGAAAAATTCCAGTTTTCATATTTCAAAGGGTGGAAGATTAGAAACTGAGCCGTGCTTTGATTGAGTAAAGAGAAGGGCACTCTGTAGATAGATTGGAAAAAACTTGGTTCTTCAGAATCTGTGGTCCTGCTGCTCCTCTGAATTACCTTGAGAATTGGGCAAATGTCTACCTGATACATGCTTGTTTCTCACAGAGAAAGCATAAATAAGAGAGGGAAACAGTCTTATTTCCTTCCCCTCTTTTGGACAAAGTTCTTCCCATCTGCCTTCAGAACTTCCCTCACTCACCAGAACAGCTCAATGTGTTGATTAAAATGCATCTTTAGAAAGAACACGTTATTGAACAATTGCATAGTGAAGAAAGTTCTAAAATGTTTGAACGATAAATCAGACTGAGTGTTTTGCAACATGAATATGGTAAAAAAAATCATTTGAAAGATAATAAATGTATAACACTACATTTAAAGAGCTATTGGAAACATTATATAGCAAATAAGCTATATTTAAACAGTGCATTAGATTTAAAGACTACAAATTTAGTTTAAAGTGAGAACACTTGACTTATATCAAATTAGTTAATTCACTTTCATTCACAAAAAATAATTACCTCTTTAATACCTTTCTCAATGTTTAACGATGAAACAATATGTTTAATCAATAAAATTCTGCTCTGACTAAATCAATTTATTAGACAAGTTTATGAAATGCTGAACCACAGCAAGCAAGCTCATATTCTTTCATGAATATAAAGAACAGAACTTCAGATCTAGAAATCCATTAAAACAGGAGGAAAAGTAAAGAAGTGATGGAGTTACTATGAATGTATACTTTATTTAGTACTATAAAATAAATATGTCAGGCTGCTTAGTTTATAATATATACCATATAAATATTTATAGCAAATTATTCCCAAGAATATACAAAGCATAGCTATTGGTCTTATTCAAATTAAACTGAGGCCAGTTGTACCTTAGCAGGGATGTTGTTGTGTAGTGCAGGTAAATACCAGCGTGTTGTAATAGTTCTTTATTATGCTCATTGACTAAAATTGTGAAAGTCAACAAATTAATTGAACAGTTTCTGATTCTGATAAAATAAAATATGAAGATATAATTATAACTAAGATGACTGGAGTTTCTGTCTAGAGGAGGAAGATCGTTCTGACTTCCTGATTACCTAGTAAGTGTTTTAAATTGATTTTCATTAGAATAGTTGAGTAGTAAGCTATCCAGAGCTTGGAGAGCTCAAGCTGGGCAGCCTACACATTTCAAAAATAAATAATCAACAAGACCTATCATATGTTGCAAATAGAATAACCAAATTTTACCCCATTCAAGGAAATAGAAACATACTGGCCTGATAGGAGGAACTGCATAAATTTAATCATAAATGCCTGGGTGCATAAAGGTTTATGAAGTGTGCCCTGGCTATCCTTAGAGAAGCTGCAATGTAACACAAAATGGGTTGTGGGTTCTGTGGCTGCTTCTCCACAAGGGGAACAATCTTAGCTCTTTAGGAAATTATTTATACTTGCTCTTGAGATGTTGGGAGGGCATGAAAACATCCTGATGTTAGCTCTTTTTGGAGTGAGGAATGTTAATGGATTTAAATATCTTGCTGGCTTGAGAAAAAAAAGGCTTTTGATTACTCAGAAAGACATTCCTGGCTAAGGCAGACTTGTCCAATTGGCCTTTCCAGGCTCTAGTACATTGTTTGACTGCAGCAAGTGCATGATCATTACCCATCATCAAAATAATCTTTTTTGAGAAGCCATAGAGTTGAAGTTTTTGCAAGGATGATCTTGTTTATACATTGATTCCTAATTAGTGTCCATAGGCAAAGTATACAAATCTTCCACCTAAAGGTACAACTTTAGCCAATGGGCAAAGTGTTAAGAATTCTCCATTTCCTTGCAGAAGATTCTCTGGAGATTTAAATTTTCTCAGCTCAAGGGGTCATCAGATGATGGAAAAACTCGAGTTAAACTTCTTTTTCAGAATATTGAAACAAAACAAATTGAGACAAAGGTGAGTACCATACTTGGCTGCATAAAGAATGTATACTATAAATAGAAAATATATCAAGATATTCTAGGGTTCTAGTTCATATTATAGCATGATTTCTCTTTATTTCCACACAAGGTGGATTACCAATAATCAGTCAGCATTGTTCTTGTATTTATTATATCTTATTGTATTGAGCTAAGCTACTATGTGACAGACATTTCAACTTCTATTCATGCATGTACATTATTCAATCAAATATTAAGAGTTGGTGGATAAGTTATAATTGTTTAAAGAAATCAATTATGTATGATTTTCTGCCTAATCACATTACTTCTATTTATAAAATTCATCCACTGTACTCACAGTTGCTTTTCACTTGCTTGTCTTCCTTTCTGCCTCAAAAATAATACCTTTGTAAAGAAGTAAATATGATTCACATGATTCAAAACACATATAAGTATTCATAAATTTTCAATCCAAATTATAACAGCTCATTACTATTCTATCTTCAATGGCGTTGGATGATTTCAGACCGGATGGTCACATCAGTTGTTAGCTGGGAACATGTACACTTATTTACACATAAACGACACAGTCTCACGTTTGCACTTGCACACGCATACATCCCCTCATTTTCCCCTCTTAGTGATATTAAGTGGAGTTGGTGTTGGAAGGAAGCCATTAATTTCCTGACTTTTCTTCCTGGTGATCCTGCCTTTCCACTCCATTGCCATTCTGTTCTTCTGCTCCAGTCTTTTTTTTTTTAGCTCAACATCAGAGATAGTTGGCTGGCTAGCACACAAAAATAAAGTAATTTAAATTTTCCACGAGCCACATTTTTATTTTTTGAACATAGAGTCAGTCAATGTTCTATGGACCTTCAGTCTGTAGGTAAACAAAATGTTATGCAGGTGAATATCTGGTTTAACAGCTTTACAATTTACCAACATACCTAACTGGTATATTAGTGTATTATACTGAGTTTTCATAATCCACCTCACAAACCATTTTTTTTCCTATTGAAATTTATACAAATGTTTACTATTTCCTAAGTAATTTGAAATTTTCTCTAGTTGCACAAATTGTGCTAATATAGGCACAGTAACTTTAAGGTGATACCAGGAGATCAAAGAAAAAGTCGATTAAGCCATCTGATGGGCAGAGTTTTCCAGTTTTCATATTCTTTTTTGGATTCAAAAACTGCTAGGATGGGACGGGGAGTAAGGTGGATTTGAACATTTATTATTAATGCAGTTTGTACTGTCACAGTGGTCAAGTTTGTGATGGGATTTGCAGTTGCTGGATAGCAATGTGTAGCCAATAATGAGATACACATAATGAAATCAAACAATGTGAACTTCATTCCCCTTGAGGAGACAAGCTAGCAAATATCAGAAGAACAAAGCAGATGTTCTTGTAAAAAAAATGGCCATTTAAGTTGTAAGACTATAGGAACAAAGTAGACAACGTAGCACCTTCAAATGACTCTACCAAAACTTGTTTCTTATTTCTTCTTCCAGCCATGTAGACAGCATACCCAAACACAAAATCTCAAAAGGTTCCCATATTCTCTTAGAACCTGGAAACATTCCTAGGCTTCTATTTCCCTTGGAAATAATCTTTAATAGTCTTTTATTATGTCAGTATTAGATAATATTTACTCCACGGTTAAGAGTCCTGTGAAAAAAAATCCATTAAACAGCAGAAACTATGCCCAAAGGAAGAAATGTTTTACAAAGCATAACTCCTGAACATTATGCTACCTTTGAGTGAAGTTGTAAAATCATAGAGGGAGAAATCAATATCCCAGTGAGAAGACCTTGGTGGGCTGATCGTGTAGAAGAAAAAACAGACTGTGGACTCTCAGTTCAGCTTCAGACAAATGACACTCTTAGATTAGGAGCCAAGGTTGCCTACCCCTGGATTAGGGCAAACAAATAAACCAAATATCTCTATGGGATGGCAATATTGGGGTGAGTTTTTCAGGGAGCTGTTAAAAGAGAGACATGCAAAAAGCAGAATAACAGAGTTGGAGATTTTCTAATTCAATCCTCTGCCCAAGCAGGAAACCCTATACCATTTCAGACAATTTCTTCTTAAACACCTCCAGTGTTGGAGCACCCACACCTTCTGGAGGCAAGCCGTTCCACTGATTAATTCTTCTAAGCAGTGTGGGTTTCTTTGTGAAATGTGGATTATGTTTTGAAGGAAGTTGACAATATGATTAAAATATTAACAAGAGCAGTGATAAGACTATGACTAATGCATCAGGTTAGAACCTTTAATTAGGGCCGCTATACTTGTACCAAGGAAATGCATTCTTGCTGTGGTCTGAAACAAGTTCTGTCTCAAATTCTAGGAGTTTTAACTGGGTAGGAGTGGGGGGTAGTTTCTTGCCTAATTTGTTTTTCAGTCTAACAGAAATTAAGGCTAGCATATTCTTTGTCGTCTTATTATTTGGATTAATATACGTTCCATAAGAAAAAATGTTTTGAGACTAAGATCCTTTTCTTTCTAATCTGCGAAACCATTTTCAATACATTAATAAATGTGGGCTGAAAAATTAAATCCCATACTCCTGGGAAAAGGATTACTTCAGTGAAATGCAAAAGAAAATGGAGTGTGTCGAAGGAGGGGCTGAGATACTACAAACAAGGTGACGAGAGCTTGGCTACCTGAGGGACCACCTTTCTCTCATTGTGTCTGCCTGCTCAGTAAGACCACTCCAGGTGCCTCCAATTAAACAATGTCATCTATCAGGACTTAGGACCTGGACCTTGTCCATTATTCTGCCCTCTCATGGAGATCCATGAAGCTCTTACCCTGATTTTTTTCCCAAAAAATCTTTGAAATCTTAGTTGCCATGCTTGAGGATAGAGTGGTTGCTTAGCCCTGATCAATTTTTCTTTGGAGTGTTTTGGGAGGAATCAGTTTTGTCCTTCAGGATCTGTCATGATTTTTCTCTCTGTTTTATTGGGTTTTTTTAAATTTTATAAAATAAGCTTCCCATCTGGAATCAGTAAGCTTCTACATAGAATACACACACACACACACACACACACACACACACACACACACACACAAAACAATAAATACATTCTAGAAGAAAAAGTGAAACATGAACTATTAATGCTTCAGGAGTGTAAACATCATGTGGAATTAAAATTTAAACATGTTCAATATTATTTGCACATGTTTAATATTGAATAGAAAATCTGTTAATTGTATATATGTTGTCCAGCTCTCACTGCTCACTTTAAAACTCTCTATGAAATGCTATCCTGCATTTATTGATTTAGAAAATGTGCCACCTTCCTCTTTTCCCCACAACCACAGCCCTGAGAGGTGGGTTGGGCTGAGAGAGAGTGACTAGCACAGAGTCACCCAGCCGCCTTTCACAGCTAAGGCAGGACTAGAATTCACAGTCTCCGGGCTTTCTAGCTTGGTGCCTTCACCACCAGACCAGACTGGCTCTCCTAAGGAAGAAGTGCTATTTTCTGGTAGCCAAAAACATTTTCTTGTCTCTGGATGAGTTCTGGCTCTCAGTAGTCAGGGAGGAGATTTAAAAAAGCTGAGAAAAAGAAATTCACACCCATTTGGGTTTTGTTTTTTGTTTTGTTTAAAACAACAACAACTCCTCCAGTCAAAACAGATTCCCCCCCCCCTAACAAGTAAAGCCCCACTGTATATATGGGCTGAAACCGTTTCAAACAGACTGGTCAATAAGTGGGTTGAATGGTCTATTCCCTGCTTTAATTTTGATCATCATTTTCCATGTTGGTTTTGTGGGAAGCATAGCTTTCCAATATTCCCAAGCAAGTATAAATAGGATTATTTTGCAGTGAGATTTCAGTTTAGATTGCAAGTCCTACATTAATTGAGTTTAATGGATCTTGTTGACTTAAGAGGAAGCTTAAGTAAGTTTTCATATATAGTAGTTAAACAGTTATTAGGGAATAAGCTTTCATTATCGATTGACAATTATAGTTCATACTTATATAAATAAAATAATAACACTCCTAAACGCGCTGTACATCACAATGCAGTGTTTTTTTCACCCCCGAGGGTAGCCTATTTAAGAGCACTGGGGTGAGAACTGAACTCTCTGGAACCCTCTTAATAGCTCACTCTAGTTTGATAAGGATCCATTGATGAAGATTTGGCTTAGGTCATTCAGTCCATATTTAAATAACTAACTCCTCAGAACATAATGAGGATACTTCGTCAGATTCATAGCATGCCAACAATCTATTAGGAAAGTTATTAAAACAATGGAATAAAACTAAGATTTTTGTCCCAAGAAGTCCATAGTGACTTCTAGTAAAACAGAATTATTTTAGAAAATGGAAACAATGGGCTTAGAAAAAGTCTTCCAAAGAATGAATAAGGCCTCATTAAAACTCTGTCTGGCTACTTTTGAAACTGTTCAACTGTATCATCTCAGAGGAACTTCCCCGTATCTTGAAGATAGCTTTGAGCAAAATCTAGTAATGGCCACCAATATTCCAAACATTGCTAGTTATCAAAATGCTTTTGACTTTTCTTTTCTTTTGATAATCCAATGGCAAATTTAAAGAATATTTCTTCATTTCAGAAGTTTCATTTCAGATGTTTCTTCAGGAGATACTTAGTAGCAGCACTTGTAATATAAGGTGATATTTCTTCATTAGTTCCACGTCTCCAACAAATGTTCTTCCTTCCTTTATTCACACAGTTAAACAGAGAAGGAGCTTAGCATAGTATAATAATATACTGAGCATTTTTCAACAAGATATGCAAAGTGCAGAATTTAGAGTCTGTGTGTTTGTGTGTGTGTGTATGTTTTCCTCTCTCAGCATCTTTTGCACTTGGATTCACAGTTGATAAGTTCAGACCACAGCAGCAGCACAAATTAAATTGTGCTCACTACATCAGATCAATTAGCTTGAGCATTAAAATACTAACATAATATTTTCAAGTGAGAAGATATATATTAAAGAAAACCATCTTTTGTTAAACTAGAGAGCGTAATAATCTGTAGAAAAAATATTATTGATGCTTTTCATTTCACCTTTTCTGATTTTCTTATTTTCCTTTCAGGAACTAGAATTTCAGGATTTGACAGCAGTTTTAAACTGCATTCATTCATTTATAGCTGCTAAAGTTGCATCGGTGGATCCATCATTTATAGACAGCCAGTTCATTGCAAGAAAATATACTTACAGTAATTAAGAGAACAATGTGTTGTGATTATAACAGATAAATTATTTTCTTAAAGAAAAAAAAATTCATGTGCACTACTACAATTCCATGTAATTTTATAAGAGATCTATAGTTGTATTATCAATAAAAGCTACTAGTTTTCACATTTGATTCATCATTATTAAAGCTGATGAGTTAAGTTTTTATTCAAACTGAATCAGTTTATTGCCTAGCACTTAAAAGAATATATTCTTAATATAATAACTTGTAATCTTATTTTAAACCTTTTTATCAAGCATTATCCATTTAACAATCTATTTGAGAACAAGAACTTTCTTAAATGCTAAAATAAATTTGGAGATACAACTGAGCTTTGTTTGTAATGACTCACTTGACTAGGTTAATGGATTTTAAATTCAAGGTTAACTTGAAAAATGTATTTTGCTTTTCTGGAGCAGAGATTGTTAAAAAATTCAACAGATTCATACTACTTTATCAGTAAATAGATATGCAATATGTATGATTTTATAATTTGGTATTTTATTTAAAGCTGTAATGCTATGATCTTAACTTAAAATTAAAAGTTTACCTTTGAATAAACATATGTAGGATTAAACTGTATAATGACAGTTTAACTGCAGTGCTAACAATATACAGCTATCTATTTTTCTGTGAATTAAGTTTCCACAATTTCATTAAAAGGAAAAACAATAGTAATTTTGAAAACTCTAGGAAGAGTACAAAAGACATTTTTAGCTGAAGAAAGCACCTGAAATGGGATGCTGGGGTAGAATGAAATAGTGAGTGTCACTAGGCCAAAAATTAAACTTTAATTCACTAGCATTAGGTTGTTAAATGAATGCAGTTGGTTGTTCCTGGTTAATAATTTCCTTGTTCCCAATTTCACATTAAAACTGCAACTTAGCAAAATATTTTTGTGGAACTTTGAGAGGGTATCGATGTGATACTGAGGCTTCAGTTTGTGTGTCCTATTCTGTCTCATGGTTCATATTTGTTATCTTTGATGTTCATGTGAATTTCTATTTTGCTTAACTATTTAAGATTACATTTAAAGAAAGTATCCAGTCAAAGCTCATTCATATAATTCAAGCTGGCTTCCCTTAGCAGTTTCTTAGAAAGAAATGATAATCTACATTTCCCACGGATGGATTCCCCAAGGTTATTAGTAACATTATATCAACCACAATGCTCCACAATTATCATGCTTCATATCTAATAATAAAATCATACTTCAAGAGCATGACAAACTTAAATTGGCCAGTTTAACCTAAGGTTGCCATCCTACATTATTTTAAAGCTTGAAATAGAAAAACAGCTTAAATTTTAAAATACGTATTTGTTACATATTGTTTCAGAGTTGGTTAACTGTTTTACAAATGAGTCTAAACAAAGATTTAAATCATCCAGGTTACCTATAAACTGGTGTAGTTTTATTTCCTACATATTTGTGAAATGTCAGACTCTGAACGTACAAATAACTATATTAATCATAAACATGGCACTTAATCTTATAAAGGATTTCAAATATTATGATCTGAATAGTTTTTATATGAACTCTGCAAAAATATTTTTTCCCAAAATTATAAAATAGAGAGTGTTAAACAGTGAGTTGGATAAAAAAAGAATACTATCTAGTAATTTGATGGTGGAAGAGACATTTTAACCAAAGATTTCTAGTGTATTTCATAATCACCATGGCACATAAAGTGAATACTAAACAATTGATTTAATAAGAAATTACTTCTGGATTTGTTGAAGAAACTTTTCAGTGATTAGGCTAATTCTACTCTTCTTTAGAGCATGGCCAGACATTTTTTTTATGACCAAAGGGTACACTTTTTAATCAGAGGAATTTTACCCACCAAGAACTGTCATTGGCAGAGATGCAACATTATGGTAAGATTGGAAAGTTGGGGCAGAATTTCCTGTTTAATTTTTTTTTTCTTTCTGTCTATTTGTGAATTTGTGTTATAGATGTTTCAAACCTATTTCAACTTTAATACTCTGGTTTTGTTTGGTTACCCAAGGAAAAAAATCATTTGGAAATAATATTGTCTTTATTGAGTGCCTTGCAGTCCCATTTCAACAGTGCGATATGTGGAAGAAAATCTAATAAACCAATTGTAGCATTCAGATTGCCCACCTCTGATTTAGATTAGGCATTCTTTGCTGGAAGATATCTTTGATAGCTGTATACAGTTAAGAGAATTCCCCCTCCCCTTCAAAAAACAAATCTAGGGTGTTTCTGTGAAGCAGCATAATTTTCAAAGATTATGATTCCCTGCTTCATTTCTAGTCTTGTATAAATTGTGTCAGGTAGTAAATGAGGACATGCTAATGCACATGCCACTAAAAATATTGGAAAGTGGAATGGAATTAATTTGAATGAAATACAGTCCATATACAATAGATTGGTTTACATTACATTTTTTATCCAAATGCATAGGGAAGCTTGCATTTCATATGCCTCAAGGGAAAAGAATCCCTAGCTTGTGGCTAGTAGTAGTGATTTAACATAAATATAATCAATCGGTCTTAGTATAATATGAAAACAACTTAATTGTATATTTTCTACAAGTATAACTCTATTATAAGAGATTAAAATGGTTAGAATATCCAGAGTGCTTTTATCACTTTTACAGAAAATCAAAGTTGTGACATGGTTAAAGAGGATACAAAATTTACAACCTGGAAAGACCTGAAAGAAAACTGACCATAGATAACTAATACAATTTTGCACAAACCCAGTTAAGTTACAAGTTTAAAATAGGAATGTGGGATCCACAGTCACATCGAAACTAATGTTTTTTTGCTGCATTGCTGGGATTTTTAGCAACTGAGTGCAATTGATTCTTCTTATGGTGGCAATTACTTACTGTATGCCCTTTTTAACAAAAAGATAAGTGTCTTAAAAGTGAACAAATAAATCACAATTGTGGACTCATCTAAATGGTGTGGACAATTACAGCTGAATTATAGCATCAATATAAACAACTTGTAGCTTTGGAAAATTTACATTTAGAAGCTTATCCTCAGTACAGCTCTTGTTCCATATTATTGTCACAGTATGCATTTTTTTTAATTTAAAGGATAGCAACAAACATCTTAAATTTGATGGAAAAAATTCATTTGAGGAAACAGAAAAGATAGGTTCATCCAGCATCACTGGAGTGAGCTGTGCTAGCTGCCAAATGTTTGCAGAAAATATAGAAAAATAGCCAGGGTATTGCTGTTCATTAGATCAGACTATTTTGGTATCCAACCTCAGTGGATAATCATTGTCATTATGTAACTGTTGCAGAAATAAGGGCAGACACCTCTCATGTTTCATCTCTAATATTGAAGTTATACTTCAAGAGCATGACTGGAACCTAAATTGGCTAGTTTAGCCCACATTCACCATTCTATATTATTTTACAGCCTGCTCTTGAAAATCAACTTAAATTTAAAAATATGTATTTGCTAAGTATAGTTTCAGAATTGGTCAACAGTTCTACAAATGAGTCTAAACTTAGATTTAAATTAGATGATCTGTTTGTTATCCAAGATGTTTATCATTCTGTAGCTGTTGCGGAAATAAGAGCAGAATTTGAGAGACCTCTCACGTTTCCCAGAACTTCCAATCTTGCCTGCAAACTTGTTCCTTTCCTTCCTCAAACTTGTCATTGTTATAAGGAGCTTCATTCAGAAGTTACTTCTACTGTCCCAAGTATGGTACAGGAGATACATGCCCCACAACAGAGATACATGCCTACCGTTACTTCTGTCACACACATGATATAAGAAAATCTGAAGAAACTGCTTCTGTCTGGCCTGTTCTCACTCCAGGAAACTGAAATAGACTTGGACTAACTAGTCTGTTGGCAAACCTCATTCACATGAAATATATAGCAAGAGTAGATGCAAGCTTCTTCACTCCTCTTTGAAACCATGAGTTGCACTGTAGCATGTGTTTTGTGTACACTGGAACAACACGCAGAGACACGCTTCATGGATTCTTAAGATGAGTTCAACCCCCTCCTATGTGCAAGAATCCAAATCAAAGCATCCTCAAAAGATGCTTGTTTAAACTCCACTTAAATGCTTCCAGGGGAGGAAGCACATTACATCCACATAAAACTGCTTCAGACATGTTTTTTATTAATAAAAAAATCTGACTTAAATTATTATGTCCTGCATTCTTACACTTTCCAATTAGGAAATGCAGAGGGAGAAAAAAAGATGAGAGAAAGCAACCAACCATGAGACTAACATGAGCTCCAATGGGGCTTTTGTGAAATAAACAAGGCACCAACAATATCTCACAAATACCACATAATTTAATAAGAAGATTTAAGTGTCCCTCAGTTCCTACAGATTATATGCACACATCCAGGAATTAGTTTTGGCAGCAGCATAATGGTGATTGGCCAATGCTTTTTCGGACCTTCCTTCCTTCCTTCCTTCCTTCCTTCCTTCCTTCCTTCCTTCCTTCCTTCCTTCCTTCCTTCCTTCCTTCCTTCCTTCCTTCCTTCCTTCCATGCAGAAATCCAATTTTTCCTTGTATTTGTCTCTTTAAAACAATACCTATTTTTTCTTAATCAGATTGGTCAAAATACTGATTTTGTTTACTGTCATCTCAGAATTTATGGAAAACTGTGTAACATTTTCTGTAATAACAACCAAAGTCCTCTGTGTACCAAAAAAATAAAAACTCCATTTTTTATTTTTATTTTTTGCATAAACCACCAGGATACAATCCATCTTTGCAAATAAATACTGTTCAAATCTGATATTTCATTGTGAGCTACTCCATTGTAGCAAAGAGAAGTATGGGAGGAGGGAACCTTTCGAAAAACACCAACACAACTTGCCAGATGCCTCTCTGGAATGACAACCCTCCACCCTCTTCCACATGTCTGGGTTTGATGACTCCCTCAGGTAAAATAGTTACATCTTGAACAAAACAGAATAAAACATCTCCCCCTCCAGGAGTAAGCTTTGAAATAAATGACTCTAGCTTTCCCCTT